CCTCTGTAGTTCTCACATTTTCTCAGATCTCCTTCCTTTAGTATTTTCATGAGGTATCCTTCTTTCCAGTCTGTCGGCATTTGTTCCTCCTCCCAAATCTTAAGTAGAATGCGGAGCATGTTTGCAGTTACTTCTACGTCTAACTAGTGTGCTTTAGCTGGCATATTGTCAGGTCCTGCTGGTTTACAACTCGTGATTTGTTTGATGGTTGTCCTGATTTCTTCGATCGTTGGTGCAGCGACAACCATAAGGTCTGCAGGTTTTGCTTCGACTTCCGGTGGATTCAATATAGCTGGCCTATTCAAGAGTTCTTCAAAGTGTTTCACCCATCTGTTCCTTTGTTCTTGGATCGGCTTGCCTTCTTTGTCCCCGACTGGTCTTCCTTGTTTGTATATTTTCTTTCCAGATTCTTCGTCGCGTCACGTAGTTGTTTCATATTTCCTTCTCTTGCAGCTGTCGTTGCTAGCTCTCCCATGTATTCCTGCCTGTCAAGTATAATGCTACTCTTCACTTGCTTGTTTGCTATTGTGTTTTTACATTAGGCCTTCCATCAGGTACTTGGGTCTTTTCCTGGCCACTTCTCTATGATCGATCGCAACCTCTCGTAGAACTGATCCTCACTGTCGCCTCTGATATCATTGGTGTATGCATAACACAGGATAACCTCCATTGTGATTTTCTTTATCTTTGTTTTGAAGGGTGTTTTGATGATCCTGGATCCGTGAGATTCTTATCTAATAAGTGCTTTTTTGGACAGCAGCAGAACATTTACATGAGTGTGTTGAGCATCTTTGTCTTCATGAATGAAGCACAACAGCATCCCTCCTGTATCTACCTTTTGCTGTGAAGTTTGATTCTAATGTGTTCCACTTATTCTTCGAAGATTCATGCTGTATATCCTCATTTCTGTTGCTATTTGATTGGTCCTCTCAGTTTATCATATTTCCCGGACGTTCCACGTACCCATAAAAATTGTTGCCTTGGTTGTTATAAGGAGCATCAGTCTCGTGACTCCCGAAGAACCTCTGCTATCTTCATGATGCGTCACAATTTTTCCTTCAACTCCCATAGCAAAGCTTAAATGGTTTGATTCATTTTTTCTGGTTAGCGTTCCTCTTTAGTAGGGTCGTTTTGCACGGAACGGGGATGCTGACTGTTATATTCTCATGGAGATTACATTACGAGTTACGTCTCAGACCTATTAATGGAATAATATTATGTATAAATTCTTATGGTATGCATATTCAGTAACTAGGTTATGTATATCTACATTCCCCTTGTTGTGAGCTTTATTTTCACTTATAAATTATTTCTGTACGATCTACTGTTCTTAAGCTATGTTCAATTTATTGGCTACTGCCTCTCACGTTCACAGCCACGTTTTTGGCTTTATTGTGTATGAATCTTATTCCTTTTTTATGGTGCGTTGCGGTCTGTTTGCTTAGTATATAAACCCACTATGTCTGAAATAAATGATTCTTATAGTGGAGGCTGTTGTTGGCATTCTGGACTCAGATGGGCGGGTTAGGTGAGCGACGGACCAGTAGGACTCTATGCTAGTCAGATCGGTTGGACGTCATTGGTCTAGTACAGTATAACAGAGAATAATTCGTATTTTGATTGGCGAATAGATTACGTGATAAACAGTGGGCCCATAGAGACAAAACTGACCTTATACCTAACCCTTCTCGTCCATCCAGGCTTGGTACTGGCGATAGCTCTAGAACAGCTAGAAGCATATTTCTTTAATATTACGTAAAAGCTTAAAACTCCTGAATAAATATGTAGGCTATTAAAAAGTGTCCGAAGAACCACAGTTAAGCTCTAGATTTTAAAGCTGTCAAGTGACAAGAAACATTCCTAAAGGAGCTTATTATTCGTGCGATACAGAAGGGCTAGATGTGATTTATTTATGGCTTTCAGAATATTTGTTGGTATACCACGAAGTCTATCCATGTTTCATCGGTCACTGGAACTCATTGCCTCAACACACGGTTCTAGCCTCATCTATTGATGTATCAACTAGATAATTGGATTATCCAAGTGACCCACCACCGGCTTTTACACAATCTATCAAAGCCAATGTCCTTCTCAAATTAAATCAAAGTGACTAAATTTGACCCTCCCAGAAGAGTGTTGAATGTGAATTTTCTCAGTTATTCTGTGTTCAGCCTCAAAGATCATGTGGTTAGAACCAATGTCACTACAGAATTATACTTCAGAGATAATAGAATGTCTTAACATAATAGCAGTCAATCTAGAGATAAGACATTTCTTGCTGAATCTGATATATTCGTATCACAGCCCCACCGAGCAATGTTTACAACACTCACAACCCATCATAAATAGGTGTTTATATTACGTTCTGTATACCACATACTTCCAGTGCTGAAGCTACTAAATTTAAATGTTAGTGACGCCTCTTGGATAAGTAAACAACCACAAACTCGTTCACACTTGTACCGAATTAAACTCCGTGATAGAATTCAAGTAGGTAACCCTGGCAACTCTATAAACATTCGAGTGTTCCTAGTGTAATTGGAATAGGAATAATGATTTACAGACAAATGCATATTTGTAAAGTTAGGACTACCATAAATATTGACCAATAGGAAAATGACACGTGAAATAAATATTGACCAGTAGGGGAACGACACGTGGAATGAATATTGACCAATAAGAAAATGGCGCCATTTCACGTTCGAGGATAGCATTAGACTTAACAGGATAATTTTTGGGAAATTTTTCTGAATATCCCAACATATTCCTAGTTCAAAAGATACTGTAACTAGTGAGACATTTGCAAAAGCTGCCTCACAAGATTTCAACTGTAAGGTAATTTTAAGCGATTTTGTCTTGCCAAGCAATATTTCACTTTACTGGTTAGTGTTTTTAGCAATGTTATTTTCTACGGGATGCGGTTGCTGATCTCATGACCAACGCTCCTCGTTGATCGGGTCATGGAACCAGCAGTAGTCTCGGAGTAGCTACAAACGAAGTCTAAGCAGTGACTAGAGAGAGCAATTAATTCCATATACTGTTAAAGCGGTCTTGAATCATTGACATGAACGACTTGCAGCAAAATGCACAACATATAATAATAACTCATTTTCAAATAACCTTATTTGACATAATTGAGCCTATATTTTGGCTTTTTTAACGCCCATATACTTAATGTGGCCAAGCGAGAAAGTAATGATCAATTTATAAAAACAAGTGTACGACTTATTAGTTATTAGATCATTTTCCTGGGTTTTGTGCAAGTAATCTTAAGGGGCCATCATTTGATTTGAACTGGTTGGTGAATTAAAGGCAACTCACCGAGTAAACGTTCTTTTGTTTTTCAACGACTAATCGGGTTATGAACAGTTTCTATTCTCTGAAGGGACAATAGAATAACACTGAACTGCGACCAAATAATCTTTTGACGTGATTATACATTATCCCAGAATATTTAAAACTGGGAGTTGAATGGTTAGTGAAAGTAGGAGATAATGGATGACTAACTTTGAGAGACCATACATACTGAAAGCAGGGATGGATTACTCCATTCATACTTTCATCTTTATATTGCGTATAATAGAACCATTTTTGTTTTCCGTTGGACGAGAAGAAGGAGGATAACATGACATCCCGGTAAGCTATGCCAGGATAAATAATTTATTGACATCGACCGAGGATTACACAGCTTAAATGGTCTCATTATGAATAATTTAAACTATCAGTGTATTAAAACTAGTCAGTTTATCAGTAGTGATCGTAGTCTTAGATCCTACTACCTCATGTATTTTTCAAACGTCCTCATCGTGTGAGCAGAAGAACAGTTTATTTACTACCATCATTTGATGCTAGTATTGGGTATGATATAGACAATAGAAACCATCACAAGAAAGGACTAGAATTGCATGATAAACCTCATGTGTCATTGCCAGTAAAGAGGACCAATTATAAATTATCGTGGACTCCAAATCTCCGAAACGGAGAATTTCAAGTTAGTAAGCAATGCTGATAAACAACACACAGTGAATTACCGTACATTTTAGAAAATTCAAACTGTAAAGTAATACCGATGTCTACTTCGAAAGTATAGCATTATTTTAACTAGATCCACTCGCGAGAGTGGGAGACACATTGCACTTAAGGTTATGATGGAATTATGTATTTAGATAATTAATCGAAATCCGAAACATTCGTATCCACAACACTATAAGTATTCAGCTTCTAATATCACTACGCTCAGTCAAACTCAGTCGAAGAACGTATCGGAAATTAAACTCGACATTCAAGTTTCATCAGAATTATCTGTGCTTCCCTCAGTATTTCTCAAGCCTATCAAAATAGTACTGCAGTAGTTGCGAAAGGCCTTGTATTTAATTCAAAGAGAAAACAACTACCACGCTCAAGATTACTATATTCTGTGACCCAAATCAGGCGAGGAAAAACTTACAGCTCAATTGTCGTTACATTAAGATGTTGCATACCGTAGACTGGTTTGCTGGAATTCGAACACAACGCATCTTATCTTTCACAACATTCCAATATCTAGGATATAGCGAAGCAGCGATATACCAGTAGTTAAATATCCCCCCACAAATTATCTGAAGAAAAACAAGGAAGAAAGAGATGATGGTTAAGATGATATATTTATTTCATCGTATCCAAGGATAACGTTATAAAGTCACATGGGTTAGTAAGAGCGAAAACCTTCAACAATAAATCAAAACGCGATTTATTGGTGATAACTAGCTAACCTTCTCCCACGAAAAATAAATGCTCAGTAAAATTATTGTAATTAAAACTAACTTTGAAGGCTTAAAAAAATGTATATGTTAAGGATTTCTTTATCTTCATAACTATATCTTATGGTAATGAATCGCCTCTGTAAACCTACAGATGATAACCACAAAAAGCACTTTGCACAGATATTATCTATTTTGATATCATTGTATGAAATAATTGCTGATACCAATTTAAAACTACTGAAGTTACTACATTTACATTTTTATGACCTTGAGCATTGTCCTAATACAACTGTGTACGTTACTTTGCTACCTAGGTTACACGCAATGGACAAGCCGCAAATGATAGCACATATAACTAAGTCTGTCGACTTCACGCTTTTCGATTGTAAATGGATTCCAGTTAGTGCCAAGTTTGTAGTTGTTGGTTCAAAGCCTAGAGGAACTGGCGCTATTCAAATATACGATGTCTCTGCGAAAGATATTCAACTGGTATCCGAAGTAAGACTTGGTCAAATTTCAAAGATATGTTATATATATTAGCATGTTATACATCAGTTTCCGTTGGGATCTATTATTGGGGCTTCTGTGAAGCCCTAATTGTAATTAGGCGGTTTTAACTGTAACCCGACTGTGTTAGTGTTTTCACGCAGACAAAATGGCCAAGCTATAAACAAATGGTTTGACATAGCTAAGAAAGTTTTTGTTTTTAGCATAGGAAATTAGGTGACTTGGTTGATCATGCCAACCTAAAGCATACAATTAATACACATCTTCAAAATGTAGACAGTCAATGATATCACATGATGAAATGACACTGAATCAAGTGTCAGGCTAAAGATATGTTTTACTTCTAAAATGGTACTTGGGTGCGGTCAAAACATTTCCTATGAAGCCTTTGTGTGCATATTTATGTCTAGTTCAACTACAGTTTGTGATAGTCTATAACCAAGCAATATAATACTATTATTGTTAAATAGCATCAAAAACATGCGGCCTACGAATTTCTTTTGGTTACAACGCCTTTTTTATGGCCATGAAATTGATACGAACCCGCTCAATGTACTCACCCCTCGGTAGGTAAAAATACATGTCGCCTACGTCATTAGATATCAAATGTCATTCAGTGTTAGTCTAAGTTTAAAAAAAACATCTTTGAACTCTAAGGAACAACACAACTCTTTTATTAAAGACTCAAATTATTCTCGAAATGACGTCTTTTTTTCGTCCGTTTGAAACTAATTCAATCCTTGTGGTTGTTTCATATTTTTCAGAGTGAAAAAAGTAGCTCTTTCAAATGTTGTACATTTGGTGCATCCATGCTCCCCCAAAGACATTTAGCCACTGGAGCGTTTAACGGAAGACTAGCAATATGGGATATCAGTAGTGATGGACGCCTTGATAATCCAATTTACGGCGTTCAAGCGCATAAAGAGATAATAAATACGATAGACGGTGTTGGAGGACTTGGAGTTGGTGAAGGGGCTCCAGAAATTGCCACAGGTAGTAGAGATGGTGTAGTCAAGGTGTGGGATCCAAGACAAGCTAAACTCCCAGTAGCAACTATGGAACCTGTTTCATCTGATGGTAGAGAAAACTCAGTTACTGAAAATAGACGGGATTGCTGGACTGTTGCATTTGGCCACGCATATAATAAACACGATAGATGCCTTACTGCAGGTTATGATAATGGTGATATAAAGTTATTTGATTTACGAGCCATGAAGGTCCGTTGGGAGACGAACATAAAGAACGGTGTCTGTTGTCTACAGTTTGATAGGAAAGATATATCTATGAATAAACTAGTCGCGACTACATTAGAAGGAAAAATACATGTATGGGATATGCGAACACAACATCCGAAGAAAGGGTTTGCATCATTAGTCGAAAAAAATCAAGGTGCTACTATTTGGCAGGTAAGCCATCTTCCGCAGCAACGTGATATATTTATGACTGCTGGTGGGAATGGATCCTTATGCTTATGGCAGTACCATTATCCCAGCAAACGTCAGAAGATAGTGAAGGAAGCAGATCCAGAGGGGAATGGCGATATCGAAGTCTCACAAGGTGTAATCGGTCACTTAACTCAGCTTCAGAATGTCACCTTGTCCACTCAACCAATATGCAGCATAGATTGGTGCCCAGACAAACTAGGATTGGCAGTTTGTGTTGCATTCGACCAAGCAATCAGGATCCTAATTGTTACAAAACTAAATAAACTCTAGATAAACTGTTCTAAAGTTATAACGTAAGCTGTAAAATAGCATGTATATATTGAGGTTATATTATCGTAATTTGAAAATTACTCCACTTTCTTGTACTCTACCCTTAGAATTACATTAATTATTACAGGGATAAACTGAAGATGCCAAATGTTCCGTGAACTCATCCACCACGCTGAAGTTCATGAAACAGGTTGCAATTAAACAGTATTTCCTAAAACTTAGTCACATTGTTCAACTAGTCAAGTAAAATCACTTAGTAAGTTTCCATCTATTATCTGCTGGTAGAAGCATAAATCACAACACTTATCGCGCAATAAACTGGAATGCTTGACCATTAAAAAAGACTATATTCGCTCCATGTAGTCCAGCAATTACTAACTTCTGATGCAAATAATCTAGTTCATTCCTAACTCTCCAGCCATATGAATAAAAAACTAGTTCCTAACCAATAGGGAGCTGTACTTTTCACCTTGTGGTCGCCAGTTTTGTAGACCTGGAGTCTTCCAATAAGGGGTTTCCGAAACCGTATCGTTCCTGATAGTGTATACTAGGGACTAAACTGAGAGGTTCCTTAACCACAATTACCGTAACTCATACGACTTTATTAAGACAATGCTTGCATACCATAAGCGCCACTAATTTTTGTATATGGGATATTTTATTGGAGCATTAGTTTAGGAATGGTTTATATGCTTAAAAAAAATGATAATACTTTTTGACTCCCCAATGTTTATGACCTAGAATGTATTTCCAAACATTCATGCGCTTTGTAAACATGAAAATAAGAAACAGTGTGATCTTTGTAAGTGTTTAGGGCAGATAGTGAGTTTTTAAGTAGAAGTTTTGCCAAATGTTTTGGGAATGACAAATATCCCTGATCGTGACTTTCACATTATCCACCGCATTAATGTAAATATATATTAAACAATGTTTATGAAAATCAAGTAAATACTAGAGATGATTTGTTGGGTACAGTATTAAATCAAATGATGAGAATTTCATTTGCCGGCTTTTTAAATATTTGTTAATAGGCGAGGTTGAGTCCGAATCGCACACTGCAAAGGCATTAAATTCCGAGCAATTTATTGTACAGAAGAAACGTAGGAGGTGGGATAAGAGAAAAGATATGTATATATCTTATCACTATTACATATGACTTTATAAGTTTCATGAACACGTTTTGTCTGTGTCCTAATGGGAATGTCACTCAAGATCTGTTCTAGTTTGCAATTTAAAAGATAATCACTGGGTTGAAAAGCTTTATTTATGATTGCTATTTTTCCAAGTAAACAAACGAAAACCTCACAGGTAACTGCAGACCGCATTTGAAAACGCAATTATTTAGTATCTATAGTGTCTGAAAGTTATACACCTCATTTGTTTACATCCTATCCAGCTCATATTTCAGCACTGATAAACCTGGTCTTACTAGATGCTACCACACCAAGTTATCAGTATGGTATGTTATATTTGTTCACTGATCGACGGACTAGCTATATGAACATGTATTCCGGAATGCGGGTTATTGAATATATGAAGAGTTATTAAACATGAATTGCGTGACTGTAAGTTATTTATGTGTTAAGTAATAAATCGACGACAAAAATAATGATCACAAGATGACCAATCACTATTCACTATTGTCTATCATAGCATTAATAAAATGCTGTAGAACAATACACTTGATAAAAATAAAACATTTTATTACTGACATAAACCCAACAAGAGAGAACCCAAAACAGTCACGCTCTTGTAAACTATGTTTAATGTGAAATACGAAGTCTCTAGATCTTTCCAATTACATTCACGAAACAACAAGCATTAATGAAATTACCACCATATCAACATACAATAACTTAGTATGTCATATCCAATGAACGCATTAACTAATTTCTTCAGGAAAGATTCAATGTTATATTGTCCACTTTTCAGTCCTCATAGAAATCTCTTAATACAGTATGACATATATTTGTTGCTCGAAATGATTATGATATGACGGTCAAAAACAATTGATAAACTTCTTGTAAATTGAATACATTCAGTGCCTAATGTAACATACTATTACACCATAATTAAGGATACCGAGGTAAACCATTTCATATATGGGGAGATGGCTTAGTGGTTAAGACATTTAACTGTATAGTGGCAGGTTCAGGAGACTTAAATTTAGTTTGCATATTACCGGTATCACTAGTTCTCATACCTAAAATGTAATTAAAACAAAAAGGTCAGAAATTATGAATCACATTAAATTATAACGCATTGGTTATACACGTCCATTTTCTGGAGGTCAGTTTTTCCTATATACTTTAGTCTATCTTCACTTACTTATTTTGATCGAAATAAAATGAATTTTCATTAAAAAAAACCATTGAGTAATCAAGGAATTAACATTTGTATTGTTTCAGCTATAAATAAAAAATATGAAGTACTTTACAAATTTATGTGTACATATTTGGTGATGAAAGAAACAAAAGAACGTATAAATCAGAAAATTAGTGTGTAACTTTTTACATGAAAATATGTAGGTTTTATATATATATATATATATATATATATATATATATATATATGAAACAGCATGGAAGCTGACGAAGCTGTTTTGAATGTGTATAAAGCAAATAAGAGAAATGGTGATATTCCGCTCTAGATAAGTTCCATTATTTTCCCTTTCTAATTCTGAAATTTTAAGATTAATTATTTCGAGGTGTAACATTTAATTCACGTAATTGACGAATTATATCTTCGAGTTTTTTCTTTCGACCACGTTCCTCTTTACGCATTGCTTGAAGGAATCCAGTACGTTTTTTATCGGAATCACGTAAACGTTCTAATAGTTTAATTGCTACACTCGGTGGAACACGATCATAAGCACTGCCTATTAATGAATTGAAATAATTAAAAAAAAACATACACAATATTTGTGTTATAAAGATATTGAAATTAACTTGTAAATTGTATTTTAGTAAAACTTCACTTAGATAAACTAGAAAAGAACCTTAATATTTTTACAATAACTCTTATCACTTTCAAGTCTAATACCAATTCGTTGTATAAATTGTTCCACCAAATGTTGCTTGAAAAACAAAAGACAATAATGAAAAGCTTATAATCCTAGAATGATTGTGTATATGAATTACATTATAGAAATAAGATTTGTGTTTATGTAGGATAGATTAAAATGTACCAAAAGTAGATTTTACATATTGTAGGAGGAAACTTAAATGATAAATATCATCACTGTGTGTACATTAAAATATCGTCTGATAGTTTATAAATCTGCACGATACATTTCATTACTAAAAAATAATTTGAACAATAATTAGTTTCTTAAGAGTTATCTCATTAAACTTGCTCAGAAGAGATTAAAATGAACTCAATACAAAAGACAATAAAATCCTTTGATTTAATTATTTACAGCTTATTTGTATAGTAATTAGTACAATATGTATTCGTTAACAAATTGTTAGTTTGTAATAAAGCAAGGGATTTAATACTTATTCATCATAAAACAGTAGCTTAGTAGTTAAAAGATTTCAACCCTTGCATCGTATAGATTTAAACTCTACTTAACGCATGGTACGGCCGGGTGTGGGGAGAGCCAACTCTCCCTCTCGAAATGCTCTCACATGGCCACGTGTATATAGTCACTGCCAGGGAAATCCTACTCGCTACTTTCTCGCCCCACGCGTGTTGTTTACGAAATCGAGAGAACGAAAAGCGAATGCCCAACGCTTTAACCGGGTTGATGGATATGGATCATCCAGTTAGGGGAGTTGGAAAACCCTTATTCCGAACCAATGGTGCACAATAGCTCCAGGATCCTAAGGAAACAAATGGCGTATGAACCTATGGTTGGTCACCGGCTGCCATGGAACTGCATCTCCCAACGTTCCCCAACTGCCTTGTGGATCAGACCTTCAGGCCGAAGGCTCCGGGTGTGGTCCCCTAAGAAAACCACCTATTCGGTCTGGGCACCCGGACAGTATCACAGCCCTCACATATATCGAATGAGATTTGTGTGGCGCATATCTATTGAGTGCCCCTTCATGTCAATATTTATGTGTTCAAGTAAATAAATAAACTCCAATTATCATAATACAATTTAGGCAGTCCACAGTAGTAATCATTAGTCAATACACAATTCAAGGTGTAGGTTAGAGCTGAGTACAAAAATTTGTAACTAATGAGTTATTATTATTTTCTAATATATTTATCTATGTAACCATTAGAAATGTTTTAATCAAGCATACAGATGTGTTGAGGTGATCCAGAAAACTTCTCGCAAAAGTCAAGAAAGGTTCAGGAAACACTACGAAGCATTTTGTTCAATCAGCGTTCAGTAGTTTAGCCAAAAACATCAAGAAAGTGAAAAGTCACATGTGGAGTTTCTGATTGGCTGATTACTATACTACTATGTTTAGTAGCATCCCAGAATTTTCGGGAAACCCGGGGATATCTAAAAAAACTATAAAAACCCTATATTTTTTGTACTAAAACGAACCTTTGAAGTAGAGTGCTTCTCGCATATTTTGCACCTTTTATCTCGTGTTCAGGTTGCTGTATTGTTCTAGTTTGGCGGTTACGAGAATAGCTTAAGAATCGAATATAGCGTTCAATTAGCAAGACTTATCAAGATGAAATTTTTCCAACAAAAATACACTCATCTCTATTATTTTTCTGTCAAAAAAAGACAAAAATACCTGTTCATTGAAAAAAAAGTACCACAATTCTTTTTTTAAAACTTACCATATTTTCCCGATCCTAAACAAAATTTTTATGGAAAAAAAGAATAGATAAGAATTAATTTTTTTTGGAATATGAAAAGTGGGATACAGTTCATTAAGTGAAAAACGAGTATAGAAAATAATATAATGTATTCTACAATGTATAATACACATAAGACATTCCAGCCTACGACTTATTATTTACAGAATCAAGTGAAACATATCAAAAGATGTATACCTGAAACTATACATTATGTTGAGAAAGTTTTAATTATTCATAATTCAAAATCTATGTTGTGGATACAGTAACAATTTGTTAGAACCATGCTTTAAACCATTGAATAAACTTGTAGTTTTCTCAATTGCCATTTACATATTACTATTTCAAACTAATAAATATTCACAGTTATATTTTCAGCTTGTTGATCATAGAATTTCTTTTGTAGAATTTATTTGTTTAAATCTTATTTCATTAGTTTACTTGAATTTTGATCATGTGAATAACCTCGTCATTTTTTTAAATACAATGATCTTATGAATAAATACGTAAGTAACATGTCGGTAAATACAATCATCACATTGAATTAAATTAAATTACAGCAAACTTATTTTCAGATTATTTGACAGCTTTATCTAGAATAAGAAAATGGTTTATCATCAATCGATTTTAAGTGAGAGACAAAACACTATGTAAAAGAGCCATGGGGAAAAATATATAGCCTGCCAATTATCATCAATATAAGGCCTGCTAGAAATATATATCGAAGCAAGTTACCACAATTCATGTCAACATAGCGAGATGGAAAATTAAAATGATGCGAAACAAAGAAAAGATTATATCGACTGCAATGAAAATCTAAACTTGAGAAAGGATAAAATAAGATTAAGGAATGATAATCTTACATATAGTGAAACATTTTGGGTTACGTAATTTTAACGTCTCCAACCGCTAGAGAATTCATGACAGTTTTGTGGGGCCTAACCAGAAAGTTTGGGCAGTTAATGGCTTTTAGAATTGATGTTATTCACGTCCTAACGTGCCTACACCAAACACATTTTTAACGTGCTATGTCGACTGACAATGGACGTTAAGGTATGTGGTGGAGAATAAACACAAAATTGCTACATAAAGGGTAATTGTTAGGTTGTATGATGTCAATAAACAAGCTTCTTATTCGTGAGCCCAGATGGCTAGTTGAGTGAGGACGTTTTTGGTTGGCCCGCCAAAATGAGAAATTATATATACCCCCTCGAAACGTAAGCTATATTTATACACCGATGGTGTGTATCTCATGCTTTAGAAAAGGTAGAAATAAATTTAATTACAAAAAATGTGCGTGATTATTACTACTAATTTTTTAAAATCTGATACAAAGTATCTTGCAGATAAATCATGAACATAGGACTGGACATTATGATAGAAGTGACTAGTTTACAAGTTGAGGTTATCACTAGCGAACATTATCAGTATTCAGTGAATAATAACGGGGTCATCACTTACGAGAAAGCAGTAAAATCATATCTATTTTCTACTCAAGACATTAAGAAAGTAATAAAGCTACATAGATCTTTTTTCATAAACGGACAACGGCTGAGAAACCATTAAAAAGTGCCAGTGAAGAGCCTTTTAATGATAGTTTGAGATTGGTTAAGAAATTGAGCATATCTATGAAGTGCACAGGATCTTTGGAATACGACGTCATTCAGCGACCGAGCTGAAATCCAATGATATTAAATGATGCTCATGCTGCTTATTAACATCTTCAGTTAGCTACTGTTTGAAGTCATGAGTACGTTCAGCTGAAGTCTTTCAACTTACAGAGCGTATTGTAGTATCTAGCTACCAAGTTTGGAATGACATGAAGTGAAAAATTCTTAACTAAAAATGTGCGATATTCCAATAGATCCCATATTAACGTATATATGATATTTGATTATTTACGAAATACGTATGAAAGAATATGTCAACAACGTTAGTCAGTCATTTCACCTTCAGTTATGAAGTTTATGATCATTTTCGTACCGCACAATATATACTCAATTATTTGATTCCAGAGTAGACCTCGCTTCTTCAAAGAGCAGACAAGAACAAAAACGTACCAACTGTTGTGATTTTCCTGATTCTATCTTATTATAATGAGTATCATGATAAGTTGTAGACCTTTTAAAAAACTGTGTTAATTCATTTTGCAATTTAAATGCACAGATACTTTTCTGAAACAAATTTAAAGGGAGTTTTTTTGTAGTAGCTACGCAGTTTCAAAATCGGTGTTTAAGAGCTTGAACATGTAATATAATCCATTAAGTATCATTAACCTTCAATACCACATCAGTCGACAACAGATCAGTATGAAAACACTGGGTTAAGCTACTATTATAACTTTTGTTTATCGACCAGCCTTTGTATCTGTAATGCCGCATTCAAACCTTAGAAATAAAATAAGTAAGCACGAAATAATACAGTATGTACATTTCAAGCAACTTCACAGAACACATAAAAAAGATAACTACTAACCAGTAACATTTTTACGAAATGCAATGTATGAAGTCCAATCATCTTTGTGATATAAATCCAATAACTGTCTTAAATCAGCAAAAATCAACCAAAGAGTAGTACGATCTAGGCCTGGAACAGGTTGTGAACGTGCAAATGATTCACACAAAGATAAATCAATACTTAATTGTTGAAGACCCGTTTCAGAAAGAGAACGCACCTAAAATATAAAGTAAATGCTGTAAGGAAATAAAAGGAAATCTTGTAAAAAATTAAAACCAAAAAGATCTACACCATGAATTGAAAATTCCAGTAAAAAATACAGAAGTCTTGAATTATACAACGTAATATCTATTGGTACTTTTATCAATAAGTGGTATATATAAGTCTGAAAAATTGAGATTTAGAGAAACTGATCATTTTTATGAAAATCTTTAGCAAACCAGTTTGACAAACAACTTAGAAACACTAAGCAACCTTATCTACACGGAGTAAACACAGATAACCTATTCCTGTTTGGTGAAGACTATGGGATACTGCAGAGCCGCCTGAGACCTTAAATATTACAGGTTTCAAACAGATAGCGACTAAACATCGAGTTATCAAATAGTATCCCATAATTTTGAGAGAACATTGAAAAACTATTAATCGTAAGTCTAGGTCATTAAACAATGAAACTGTTGTAACGTGTGGACTGCAGGTTAGATGCGCAGCGTTTTATTGATCGATTCAGTGACACGTAATGAACGGCCTAGAGTCTCGATTGGTCCCACTTCCCTGTCTATCCCAGCCAGTTGAGCCCAGAACGCAAGTCAGCCTCTGAGATATGAATCATTATGTTTCAAACACACTCTTTATATACTAATCAAGTAGACCACATCGTACCATAAAATAGAAAATAACATTGTACAATATTGACCAGTAGGAAAATGACACGTGAAATAAACATGGACCAATGAGAAAATGACACCATCTCAAGTCCAAGGATAGCGTTAGACTTAACAGAATAATTTTTAGGATAGTTTTCTGAATATCTCAACAGAAACACTGATTACCAATACGGAATGATCGATGTATATTTAGCGTATATTCTAATCAAATTATTCAACTGAACATGTATAGACAAAGTTTATCTGAGTTGAAACAGTGAAGTTGATTAAATTATACAAATATCAATTGATTATAACACAAAAAAATATTTTAATCTGTGTATGCAAAACAAACATTGGTGTACTTGAGATTTATGCATAAATGTGAACAACTTCCAATACGGTTGATAAACGAAAGCGAAAAAATACCAATAGGGTCGAAAGTCTGAAACTCCAACGGAATATGATATAAATAATGAATATACATGATCGACCCTTTTTCTTATTCCTTTCTGTGTATTATATATATATGCACCTGAATAGGTTTAGCCCAAATAGACTTCTTTCCCCACTCTTTGTCTCTCCTCTCGAGCGGCTAGGTTTGTGGGGAAGTTATTTACACTTAGGTAATTAAGCCTATCAGTGGTTAATGTCTCATCGTTTGGAAAAATCAAGATATTTGTTGAGCCTATCACGTCCACGTGTCATTTGGAGTTCTCTGAATGGTCCAATGTAGTAATATATATACGCTTTCTACAAAAATTTGTGTATTTTTAAGATAGATTTCACGGAAAGAGCACTTAGAAAGCAAACATCATTTGATAGCTTCTGGCTGCATTCTACTTCTATAATATGGCTGAGGTTGTAGATAGAAACCAATGTATTTTGACTCAATATTTTAAAAGTACTTGTTGACCAAGCAGCTTGTATATCTCCGGTTCAATCTTGTGTGGGGTTACGGTTTTGTATGGTTGCGTACAGAGTACTAGACTAAAAACGAAACTGGTTTCATGCTTTCTGCTTTTCAATATTTCTGCAGTTGGTTTTAGTTCACAACAGAAAAAAACTATGTTGAAAAATAAAAAAATAGTTCATTGCCTACGATGAACAGCTGTCCTATATTTCACATGGTTGAACTCCATTGATCATGGTTTTGCTCTAATTCTGAGTGTAAGAAAATTATCTACAACAAGCGAAGGGAAATAGTCGCAAAATATTGTGGACCGGTTGACGTTAAACATACATACTATTGGATACCGATTCAGTGGTCTAAAGGTTATTCATCTGCGCACGAAACTGAGGGCGCCAAATAACACTAGAGTTCATTGAATAATGTTCAGTCACTTTACCACTAAATCTTAATTATGTGTACCTAAATTATGGGACAACAACTGATGGCATAAAAAGTTTTCAATGCTTAAAATTTGATAACCTTCACGTTTATTTTTACCAATTATAACGAAAAAGGAATTACGAAGATGATTTAGTTAAATTGTCAACATATATAAACTTACTTGAGAACCAAATAAAACATCATACAATAAACGAGCAATATGTTTACAGACTGATATACAAGCAGTTTGCGCGATTTTCGGCGGAAGGTTTGAAAATGAATCGAACACTGATTTTAACCACGATGTTAAATGTACAATATTTTCAGTTGGTTTAATTTTTGTATTAGTTATGTAACTTACACCATTACGTCCATCAACATTTTGAGAATTATTTAATAATTGATCATTTTTATTGGTATTATTGTTAGTTTGACCACTATTATTATCATCAGTATCATCATAGTTACTTAAATTAATGAATTTCGCAACATTATCCTTCAAATGATTACAAATTTGATCTTCAACCAATACACGTATATCTTTAAGTAGTGATGCACCTTGTAATCGGCTACGTGGTGGATTAGCTCCAGAGTTTAACGTAACTGATGTAGTCATATCTGGATCTTCACGTTGATTATCCTGAACAAAAAGATTTTACGAGAACTAGAATTATTTTAAACGTTAAGGAAATCCAATAATTAATTTCTTAAAAATATTTGAAAACAGAATGACATTGGAATTCGGGCCATGATGTTTGTGAGAGAAGTATATGTGAATGATAGGTAAAATTAAATATGAAAGAATTAGGGAGTATTGGATTAGTGGTTAAAACAATCGACGTTTAACCGGTGAATTGTGGTAGGAACCTGGCTATAACTTCTTCAGTTTAAATAATACGGCAGCATAATTATCTTCAAAACAATATCATGTGGTTTGCAATGAAGTACAGGAATTTAAACTTGATAAATAGGCAACATTAGGGGAAATTAAAACAATAGGTGATCCAAGACACGGTGATGTGGAACGATGAAGAAAGTTTTAAATAATTATATATATCCCACTTTGTAACACTAGCTGGTTGAAGAGCTTTTTTTCTGAAACTTTAAACTCAGGTGCATATATAATGAAAATTTATCGTGAAAATAAAATACGCTGTAAACCGAATAGTCTTCGCTATTATGAAGTATCATACACTGACATCATGTGATCCTCAAGACGAGAATGTATATTAATAGTATAGCCATACAGTAAACAATATGATACGAAAATTTCGTTAACTGAAATTCCTCATATTTGTACCACCTCATTAACGAAACAAATAAATCCATAAAACAATCCGGTGGTTAACTATATTTATTAATTAAATAGAGTTTAATAATTTATGTTATTAGCCTAGAATACCATATTCTTCTAATTTCTCGATGCTTTTTGATCAACATACGTCTTTAAAAGCTATTTTCCATTTCTCATGTTAACAATTTGCATGAAGTAGGCGATGATAATGTTACCAAGAACAATATTGAAAGCTTTGTAATTAGACTATCTGTTTCAAACTACATATCACCAAAATAAACAGGTAAGTTTCGGTTATTCATAAACGACATAGAGTATGTAACAAACATGTATTAACATACAACACTGGTATAAAAACATATCAAAAAAGATAGAAATAATATAGTAGTAATGATCATAAGAAAGACTGAACATTGAGAAGATAGTTTGAAAAGACAGAATGAATGGTAGAAAATGAAGCGATACTAAAATTTGAGATCTGGAGGAGGATAAAGAGGGAAGGCAGTACTGCGTCACTATGACTTATAACAATTTTAATCGAGGTCTCAAATCACTGACTGAGGTTGTCGATCGGACAGGTATGTTTAATGTTAAGTGGTTGGAGATAATAGGTAGAAAGTTCTAGGTTTAGATCCACTGTGACTTGAATCTCCATTACAGACAGAAGCGTCGTCGCTGAGTTATTCAGGAACCATCTGATTTACTATTGTAGGACTAGGACATTTTATACTGATTTATTAATGATTAATTATCAATTTCAATATTTTACAAAGTGCTTAACCCTAATATAATTATACATGTCGATTTGCAATATATACATACAGCTATGCAAAGTAGCATGACACGGCAAGAGTGAATGAGTTGACCAAAGTTCACGTTATCTGTTTGTTTTGTTTTATTTTCGGTAGTTAAAATATCAACGCAATTCAATTGGCGTGCAATACTTTTCAAACAATTAACAGAATGATCTAAAACCTTTGCAAGTATCACTTATGAATAGAGTATACAAAATCTGACATTTATAGTGAAACCATTCACTGATATTTTGATGTGTTTTTTTTATTTAAATATTCACTATAATGTAAGGAATCTCGGTGTATTACTTTCTAACATGTACAAAATAATGCTTATGATGACGCTTATTCAACAAATAAAAAGCGAAATGCTAAGAAAATTATTCCTAATTGCTCAGTAGTTACAAAACACTATTAGCATAATGTAGTCCTACGAGTATTTGGTTTTCAGTGTTATTAGGGATGATAACTACTACTGTCCTCATTGTTATTGCGTGGGGTATATGTATTTGGTACCTCTTTGTACCAATGTTTATATGTTCCAATAAATCAATGATAACTATTACTGAGGTTGTCGATTTGTTAACACCTTATTTTCGACGCCTTATCACTGAATATGGAGATCAGATAAGCGAGCTGAGATATGCTACATTCAAAGTTGATATTTCCTAATCCCCCATTTCGTTATCAGAAGGAAGCATTGCTACAGAAACCGGTTGTTTGAGGGAAACACCTTAATGCTGACACACACTAGTACAGCTAGCAGGATGACTTTGTTCTCGAACCTGAAGTTGATGTCTCGAAACTTATCATTCTCCAATAGACAAGCCTGGGATGGTAAGATCTAAAGGAATAAGTGTTCCAACCAATATAACTCGACTAGGTCATTGTGATAACCAAGACCGAATACCACAGCAAGGTAGTAGCCCCAATCGGGATCCTATAAGTGTAGTCACGATTGTTATCAAATGTTTTATGAATAACAGATTTGCTTGAAAAACATGGCTCATATTGATTCATAGTAATAAGATGAATTAAGAGTTCAGTATATATGACAATAATATCAGAAAAAAAGGTAAATCAGTAAAAACTTATAAGTCTTTTCTAAATGTAATATTTAATACAGAAGATAGAGAAACATACCCTAATCATTGCGAAATCTTTTAGACGACCACTGGTTATACTTGAAGCCTCATCTAGCAAGGTGTATTGAAGATAGTTATCCAAATGCCCACAAACTGTTTCTAACTCATCCAAATTTATACAGAATTGCGTAAGTCGAGGTAATTGACGTAAAGATGAACGAACGCCCGAAGTTAAAACTGTATTTAAACATTGACTGAATAGGAAATTTGTAGCACGATTAATTGTATCCTCTAGTTCTGTGTATGCTAAATCCATATTTTCACAAAACCGATAACACAAATTAATGTATTCACGAACAGTTTGATAAATTTTAGGTACCATCCATGAAAAGCACAACTGTTTAGGAAATGGAAGTTCAGAAAACTCAACTGTATCGCCTGGTGGATACATTTCAAGGAATTCAGCTAACTGTTCCGAATTTGATATTTTAATTGTTTCATAGCTATCTTCAGCAATTATTGTTTCAAACCTACATGAAAATGTGTCAACACAGAAAATTTCTATTTGAAGAAGAATTGTAATTCAAAACAAATACAGTGATAAAGTCGTTTCAAAAAGGTTCAGACTTATTGAAACACTTATCTTCAATGAGACTGTATGGTGATCGCACTATAACTCGAATTGATTGAAGTTGGAATTATACCATTGGATGTCAGCTAATTATAGTGGCTAAATATTCACCGCTAGAACTAAATGCCCCGGGTTTGATCCTCGGTGGCATTTTTAGCGGACACAGCTCAAAAGTTCAATACTAAGACAGAAAAGCTGTCCAGTGATCCCTAGTTTTTAAGAGTTCACCAAATAAAATTATTCTGCGACGAACGTTACCTACGAAAAAGGAGGTTTTTTCTATATAAATCTCTTTTGGGTTAACCATATGCCAAAAAAACTACAAAATACCGGTGACAATTTTGAATCAATATTTACTAATCAACTTGGATGAATTCAGCACGTCAGGATTATTGAAGCTGATTTGATTTAAATAACACTTGGCACTAAAGAACATAGCAAGTTTTAAGCAAAGATGTATGGTGGCTAGCAGTAAAATCCATTTGCGACTTGTCAGCTGGATGTACTTGCACCCCAGAGTTGATATTCACTCCAGGACTCAAACCCAGTACTTTTAACTTCAAACGCTATCGGGTTATTCGGTAGCAAAAGTTCATTACCAACTTAAAAACGTACAGCTGTTATTTCAATTCGCGTCTCATATGGGCAGAAACGCAAGTACATGAGTCTGCTGAATCAGAGATGATAAAACTTCATATTTAAAGCTATCCTATCTCTTTTGTGCTTAATAACTACATTGTACAACCATACTTGAAAGAAAAACAAAGTAGAGCTTTATAAGAGAATAATTTAGGGGTCAGGTCGAAACTAAATTCATTTTTCGCTAGGAGTTTATGATCACACATCTTATCATAATCATAATCTCAAAGCCAATATAACTATTTAGAATGCCATATCCGTAAGCATAACTAAGAAACTGGTTTACTTGATGAGACTAACCGTATTAGTCAATTTTATCTAATTGGAATTAGGGATTGCTGCCGCATAGTAGAACCACACAGTAAGTAACGCTGGGGTTGGTCATAGGAGACCAGAATAATCAACAGATGAAACCTAAAAATTTCATCGATTAGTTTAGTCAAGAAATGTTATGGAATAACTAACCACTGTCTACCTCGATGTGTAATACAGACCAATAAAAAATCAGGTTGGACAGAAGTTAGGGGGCTCAGGAAGATCAGGATATAGCATGGACCCATGAAGTCTGAGGTATATCAGTAGGCATAATTTGCGTACTTCACAGTCGGAAACGTTAGACCAATGCAGAGTTTTACCATGTTCTATGTCGCCTATTACTGACTGAATGAAACTGAACTTTAACAATGAGATATTGATGATAACCATCTTAGCTTACATTGATGGTGAAGGTTGAAAATTTCAGATTGTCAAAATTTATCTATATGACTTTATTCCTGTTTCATATAAAATAATTTTGACAAGTAAATATGTGATTAAATCACTCAAAAATTGTACCCGTTAGAAGACATGCAATATATGAAAGTGACTTTGGTTTTTGACAGTATAAATAGAAAATACATGATACATTAAGTATTTGTCTTTACAGTTTATCTGAAGTAGAATATTGTGGCATGTATGTTTATATTAAGTTGAAAATAGGATTCAATAATCATGAATAAAAACAGAAGATTACTTCTGAAAAGTTATCGAAAACAAAATGGAAGTGAAATGGTGGAGATCTACAGCTTAGGTGGGTGATTTTAGTGGAATTCGGATCCATCAACTGACAGAGCAAAGCTCCATCAAAATAAAGTGGAAATAAGGAATCTCGATACAATGGTCTATAAAGAGTTGATTAGAAAAAGATATTTCAGAAATTAAGTTGTTGTAAAATTATTTTTCAAGCCTTATAGCATAAATACACTGTGCCTGGGAGTGGAATGCACGATGAGCACGTCTCGTTTTGTCTGAGACCCATCATGTGGATATATCTGTATCTTCACGTAGATCCTCAAACTGAGACTAGAGCTAAGTAACTTCCACTTTGAATGACATGTTTTTCCCTGGGTTACTGAGTTCAGATAACCACTAAATTATTCAACATATATCACAGTGCGTATTATTACGGTGAATTTATATATACTGCTGAATGACTTTAAAATTTTAACGCGTTTTAGTTAAGCAGAAAGCAACAAAAGTAAATGAATAATTTTTAACAGAAAATGAAAGAATTTACTGAAAATATATTAGATTAACATAAATGAGAGATCCTTCAAAGTGGATCATAGGGACTCGAAGTCTAGCACATAAAATATGGTGCCCTAACCTTAATTCCAACACTATAAATTTTGCAATTAGCATTAATTAAAATGGAACACAAATACATTTCGTAATTTTTGTAAATAAGTTTATCGTTACTTCACTTTCAGCATTCACGTATTGGTATTTTCCTGAATATTACAACGCTTTGTAAATATATTGTTATATTTACCTTGGTGAAATTTGTCATAATGCGATCCAACCGTTAAATTCACACTTATTGTTAACTAAACGACCCCCGTGACTATATAAGTACCGTAACCTTGAAGTCAGTTACGTGTCCCTGATTGGTTTGGTAGTATTTTGTAGGCAACTTATTATTGCTGGCAAAACTACTAATGACCTCGTTGTTGATATTCATGAATATTAATAAGGTCAAACCAAAATTTAGGTCTGAATATCAACAAATTAGTGATTCTTAAACTCACAATAACAGTAGTTTCTTGGATCTTTATAATTCCCTCCCAGTTTCAAATTTATTTATTTAAACACATAAATATTGGTACAAGGAGGCACAAAATAGATACGCGTCACAAAAATTATTCGGTTTGCGTAAGGGATGGGATACTGCCCGGTTGCCCAAACGGAGCACGTGGTTTTCTTAAGGGACCACACTCGGAGCCTTCTACCTAATGGTCTAATCCACAAGGCAGTGGAGCAGTCCCGTGGTAGCTAATGATCAAAAATAGGTTCATATGCCATTCGTTCCATCGGTATACGGGAGCCCATGTGCACCATTGGTTTGGAATCAGGGTTTTCCAACTCCCCTGGGTAGACCCTTCGTGTCCACTAACCCGGTTCGCTTTTCTTTCTCTCAACTCCCTAAACAACACACCCACCGCGAGAAGACAGTGAGTAGGACTTCACTGGCAGTGGATGTATGCACATGGCCATGTGAGAGCACTTCGAAAGAGAGCTGACTCTCCCCATCCTCGGCCGTATCAATGATTTGAAATTTTTGAAAGTTAATATGCTCCCCTAAAAGAAAGTGTCTGCTTTTCACGAGCAGATAATACAATGGAGGAAAAATTAGTGACATATTTGTCAGGATTGACTGGAAACGAATTACCGAGATGATTATTTTTATTGTAGGGTTTCTCAAGTTTTTTCCTATCTCTTTTTTCTTTTTCAACATTACGGTGCTGCGAAAATCGGTTTAGGAATGTGTACGTGGGGTTACACACACATAGGTAGGAGAAATCGTTATCTGCAAGTAACGACAGTTGAGTGCGTACCTAAGTGGGCTACAGAAAGAAACTGTATGAGAACAAGTCAAACTAGATTTTAATAAATCTTGTTTTTCAAGCCACAAATCCCCTAAACCAATTAGATATGCATCTACTTCTAAGTAAACCTCAATAAAATATCTCAAATCTAATTCAACTGACTAAATCACAAATAGCTAACTATCAAAGAAAACTGATCAACTTCACTGAACTCTATGATCAAGTATTATTTACATTAACAAAAATGTCTGTAGTTTGACGTTATATCCGAAAGAAGATTAAAGTATGGGTAATTTTAGTGAATTATTTATGAACTGTTATTATATGTTCTTATTATTTAACTATTAAGTAACTAGATTACATATATTTATATTTCTTTTATTATAAGTTTTCATTTGAAGTATTAGCTAATATTATACGATTTACTATTCTCAAGGTATTTTCAATCTATTAGTTAAAGTCTCCCGCACTCACAGCGACTTTTGGCTTGATCCTTTACAATTATTATATTTCATTTCAGCCACTTATGGCTGAAATATACGATCCATATGATGGAGACTGATATTTGTGTTTTGGAACCTAACAGGTTGTGTTAGGCGAGAAGCTATAACACAGAGGACCAATAAGAACTCAGAGTTGACTCAGGGCTGCTCGTGCTGATTAGCGTATCATTTTGTTTAGCACAGTGACTAGGTCATATAGGTCGGTGTTCTGACTGGCAAATTTGTCACATGATATTTGATGGGGCTTAAGATATAATATTTGCCGTATTAAATTCATCAGTTTTTGCAGCACCATCACATCAAAAAAGAAAAAAGGATCGGAAAACAACTTGTGAAACCCTACAATAAAAATAATCATGTCAGTAACTTGTTTCCACTCAATCTTGACAAATGTGTCACTAATTTTTCCTCCATTGTATTATCTGCTCGTCAAAAGCAGGCACTTTCTCTCGGGTTTTAATATTTCCGTCTCAATGATACAAATATCTATATTGGCCATCAATACTCAGTTTGGAAATCTCTATGATCAGCTGATTAAGTCAGTCAGTAACAACGTAGAAATTCGTACGTACGTACATCAGTTCGAGTTGCCACACCACATTAGCACAGAGATGTAGTTGTCGATTCAAATCCCATAGTTGTAGAGGTAATAAGAGTATAAGCAGTAATCGGGAAGATTAGGGTTTGGAGATGTTATTTAAAGAGTATAATCCAGTGAAAGAAATTTGGAAAGAGGAAAAAAGGGACATGAAGGATTCAGAAGATTAGAATTTGTGAGAACACAGAGAGTGGATGCACCCGCGCCATTGCAAACGATTTTGAGCCATGTAATTCAGGGTCTCTAACCATCGGTTGCTATCATCTCGTGGTCCCCAACCAGGTAGTCTACACCTACCAACATGACTCAGTCCACTTGTCAGTGACTTCATGGACTTGTGCCATGTTTTGGTTTGGCCGCCCCTAGCTTTCTTCCAACCTACTCCTATACCACTGAACATAGCACAACTGATTAAGTGCTGTGCTCCTTCGTCTTTAGATAATCAACGTTGGTGTAGAGCCGAACTGTTGGATGTGGTGTGTCAATTTCATATTCTTTAGTCAAATTAGAGAAGCATATTAAATTTTAAGAATTTCAAATCACTGAAAAAATTACGAAATAACCTTGATATTATCTTGATCAATTAATTTTTTTTCAAAATGAAATAAAAAATTAAAGATATGAAATACAAATTTGGCGAGACTATATTTTACGGACGAAATCATATTTACGATGATAAGTCAAGGCGCGAAATCCATTCATCCGTTAGGCCAAATAGAGTTTTGGCATTTTAGCTGATGTCAAATTGTGATGAAATCCCTAAATTTATATCCTAACCCTAGCCATCAACTGTAAATCTTAATTCTAATTTCTACACTGGTTTATAACCATCATTTAGTCCTAATTAGTAGATGGACGTTCTAAAGGTCATTTTAACATCGCTCAAAGGTCATTTATAATTTATAGTCTCACTATAAATTACGAGTTTTTGTAAACGCTTGTTTCCTCTCTCGAAATTGCAGATAAACGTTTCATTTCTATTTGCTATTACAGGTTTAAAGCACATAATTCCACTCAACTTTACCCATAATTCATATTCTTCAAAAGGAGAGTGAAAAAGGTATAACTATTAAGAAGACTCAGAAACACGTAGTTTTTCTTTCTTTCTGCTGAAAACAGCAGGTATGACATGTAAGGAAACTCGCAGTAATTTTTGTGTATTTATATTTTCTCACTGATCTCTGGTGGTATCTGATTGGTTATTTTGCATTTAGTTTACTATACATCTCAAGGTAATATTTGTTGCTATATCTACAAAGTTGTTTGATAATTTTAAGTTTTGTTGGAAATATAAAAGCTCTTCTGAAATTCTCATTCTCTCCCTCTCGTATTTGTGCATGCATTATTAATATTGAAGTGTTATAGTGTATTGGTGATCCGACTTATCTAGTTCGTGTAGATTATGATTCATATTAGAAGGATATCCCAATCGTTTATAACTTGTAACTACGATATTTTGTTGTAAAATAGGACAATAAAAAAACCATTATATTTAGACGTTTAAATAACAGACTAGCAACATTATATGTTTCATAGAAAGAATTTTTCAAATTAATTTTACTTACTTAGACTTCCATTGACTAGCTAATAGTCTATGATAGTACCGCTGAACAATACCAATTGTTTCAGTTAGACCAGTTATTGGGAAGCCTAAATTTTGCATAGTTCTTTCAAAAATAATTAAATAATCTTTTAATTTAATTAAATCATTTGGTGAATCACATGATTTTGCATTAACATGCACAAAATCTATTAAACGATTCACTGTATGTACCCATAATTCATCTAAATATGTTTGATAAAATACTGATGAACCAGATAATGTATGACGAATAAAATCATCAACTACAAAAAATCCACAAATTCCACTGAAAAATTCACCATAATTACGCATTTCGACCTGAGGACAAGAAAGAGAGGATAAAATTGAATTATGAGAAGTAAACAGATGTTAGACAAGTTTCTTAGAGTAGATGTACGGTAACTGGCAGTGTAATCTAGAAGGTGTGTTTCATTCTATTTGCGATGAACCTATTTCTCAGTAACTGAATGGATATATATATATATATATATATCTTCCTTACAGTCTGTTTTCGGTCTAGCGAGCTCTGTTACTTTACTGGTTCACCGTCAGTTCTTTTTCTGAAAAGTTCCTGCATTTACCAAATTGAAATTAAGTGCTAATATATATCTCTTCAATTCAGAAAAATTATTACTACCAATCGAAGTGATTATAATTTGTCTGATACTTGAATCGCATATTAATACACGTAAATCGAATTCAATATAAAAAATGTTTATGATAACATACTTTATACGAGATGGTTATTTACGATGTACTGGGAGACTAGACAGGCAAATAGATGATAGACAGGTGGTGCATGGCGCAAATATGTTTTGATCTAAGTAACCACATTTTATATACACTACACAATGGCACGATGAGAGGAAAAACTAAAAATAACCCAAGAAACGAAAAAGTGAAGGAGGAGTGAAAAAAAATGGGAAAAAAAGTAGTGACCGAACAAATCGAAGGAAGTAAAATTACTACTGTATTTAAGACTTGAAGTAGAATAACAAAATAGCTAGTGAATAAGTCTAATCATCAATGATAGATCATCTTGATGTATCCATAAAAGATAAGCTTCCGCGTCTGGTCGCCTCTATGTGCATCTACAAGTTCACGTGCTCTTGTGGAGCAAGGTACTTTGGCCGTAGCCAGCGCTCGCTTTCAACTCGGATACGGGAACATATCCCAGCTTGGTTCTATAAAGATTATTTGTTTGAAATATACATATCCCAAACCAATCAAAACAAAAAGTAAACAATGACAGGTTTAAGGTCAACAATAACCAATCTAGATCGACGTCTACACGACAAACTGCGAGTCACATGTGGAGAAATTTGAACACTTCACTTCTACTTGAAGTTGGTGCTAATGATGTCGTTCAGAATAACGATGAAAGTTCCACGACTAAACCATCCAGCTCAGAGAACAAAACTCTATCAAAATCATCCACCTGAGCTACAAATCTTCTCCACCATCTCTTAGGATAGCGAATATAACACGTATTCACAAACCGAATTACAGTAAATTGTAATTATTTAAAAAAAAAAACCAAATTATATTGCAGATTTGTAGGTAACCGGCAAGAAAATTTATACCTATGTTATATGTTAGCTAATTTCTATCACAATAAGGTGTATCACCATTTTGAAGAAATCAGAATTAATTCACGAGATTGAAGCTTGAATCTTCAAAATACTTTGGTAAAGACTTTAATACTGAACTACTTAAGTCACATAGCAAACCTGGATTTAAGCATTATTCCATCAGTACTACGAATTTGTTATATCTTGTGGCCTTGTGCCCTATTAATATATAACGTAAGGATACCGTCAATTAGAGAACAGTGATTTATCAACCGAACAAATGATGCATAAAACCCATACGAGCAGTCTAGATTCCTTATCGATCCTACTTTCCACCTAGCACTGTCTGAAAGAGTCCAGAACACCAATATCAGACTCCGCGATATCAATCATTTATTTCAAACACATTGGGTTTATTTACAAACCAAACAGACCACATCGCACCATAAAATAGAAAATAACATTTGTACAAGATTTAACCAAAAGTGGCTGTCAATGTGGGAGGTAGTAACTGATAGACCAGGCATAACTCAAGAATGGTAAATCGTATAATAATAGTCTATGGGTCAAAATAAAGCCTATGATAATAAGAACATGCATAGTTTAGCGACTTAATAAATATACAATAAAAATATATGTATTGTATTGGTTCATAAATAGTTCTCAAGTGTTACCATTCATAATTCTCGTCGGGATATGACAATTAAATAACATAATGTTAAGATTTAACTAAGAAGAAATCCTTGTTCATGCGTCTACAATTCAGAGGGGATGTGGCTAGCGAAATACTAACTCAGAGACTACGTAGGACAATACAAAAGTCTTTTAACGCCGGAGAACTGCGATTAGTATTTTCTACGCGCCCAATGGTTACACCGAAGCTAAAAGATGAATTACCTAGAATGACCACCTCATTTTGTATTTATCAGTTCAACTGCTCCTGTGGAGCAAGTTATATTGGTCGAAGTTCTAGGAATTTACATTTTCGTGCTCGTGAACACCTTCCAGCGTGGTTAAACAAAGGTTTGATAAAGAAGGTGAACAGCTCAATATTGGCCCATTTAGTACAAACCGGTCATAGTGCCAGTATAAACCAATCTTTTTCAATTATTTATAAGGTAAGTAATTTTTTGCCAAAACTGGTCAGACTGAAAGTCCTTCAAACGGCTGAAGCAGTAGCCATCCGAATGAAGAAACCGGAGCTATGCGTACAGAAGAAATATATTCAGCCACTCCTCCTCCCCTGGTCAACATCAAGGCCAATTAATCAATCGTAATCTTAACTATTGAATGACCCAATTTGACTATGACCTTTCGTAGTCAATTGTAATTGTCCCTGTTATCTTTATTCATAAATCTCTGTATTATTCGTATTATTACTTTTATTATTATTATTATTCGTATTATTGGTTAAACATCATTAATCTCCCTATACATGATTCATTCACTTCGCATTCATTCCTCCGTATTACGTCTTACTTATTTGATCGAATTGTAATTGCACTATTATTTCTCTCTCACCCCATTTGACCCATATTTATTCTGATCATGGATCTTAAAATTTTCATTTAACATATACGCAGATTCAAGTTAACATTCTATATGAGTCATATTAACATTAACAATTTTATTGTATTTTGTTTATCACAATCCTAAATTCACATGCTCTAAACGATGTACTTCACTCTTAACTTGGCCATTTTTCGGATTAATAATTTGGATATATAATTGTAGAACCTGAAGAGAATTTATCGAAAAAGAATATTCTTCGTTCAAATATTAGTCTTCTATTTATTAATCCATTCTAGTAACAATGATTATTAATAATATTGACAAATGAATTACAATAACCAAATTCATTTTATTTATGAATTATTATCAAATATATCACAATTCATACCTAAACTATAAGACTTTCACTTCAAATGACGAAAGGGTAACTAAGAGATTTTATTAAAGAAATATAGAACCGTTTAGCTATTTCTATATACATAGTTTAATAAAATATGATATTATAACCATAAACATTGAATAATGAAAATTAAATTAAAAGATAAATAAAGAATTCATACTTAAAAGTTTTATTATAATTGAGTTTAACTAAACTCTAAATAGTAAACAAACAAGCAAACAAACAATCAACTTGTAAATAAACGTAAAAATAAACAATCTCTTCAGTCAGATTCTGATAACAGTTTAATGATCATTCTTATAAGCCGGGCAGGGGGGAGGGTTAAGGTTACTTGTTTGACAACTGAGGCTTTTAAACTGGATGTTAACATTGAGTTTATTTCAATATTAGTTGATGTAGTACAGAGTTAAGAATTTGAAAACGTTAGAAAAGATATACATTCAAGTAATTCGAGTATAATATTATCAAATATTCAGCGACAAGCATTATTACTTGATCTTAAATTTTGTAATATGTGAACTAAAATTAATGATCATTATTTAGTGCTTTCAATAATATTGACTTAAATTAGTAAAATTAGATGGTTTTAATTATAGATTTCATATAATTTACTAAATGTATGCTAATTAGACTGTAAAATATTAGAATAATAATGAGTATTTCCAGCTTGAAAATCACCAATTCATGTGATGACAAACAGTCCTCATTTAGAATGTAGATATACATACATATGCTGTTATGTCCTACAACCGACCAATAAGGGTAGACGACCTTAGGCAAATAATACAAAACAAGGACAAGGCGATCGATAGTCGATAATAATGCTTGATCCGACACCAACTAGACTCGAACGAAGAGGAAGAATAGAAGACTAATGATCATCAGTCAAAGATCATTATTATATTTCAGACATGCAAGACCAGAGGGCACAGTAGACCAATTGAGTAACAGCATTAACACCGAATAACAAAATGAATGATGGGAAAAAACGGAGAATTGGGTACGAAAATAATCGGTTTTAGCTTATCAGTGGAAAATGCCATAACAACAATGTACGGTTCAAATAGATACTTGTTGTTAAGGTAATATGAAAATAATAAACCCAAAATATTTATTAAGCATTCAATCAATATATACATAAATAAAATTGTACAAAAGTAGCATCGAAAGTTTTCGTCTCATCTCATACAACAACAAGCATGAAAATATCACAACGTGTTTTGATGACTGAGAGAATTCAGATGATAAGTTTTAGTGTAAGAAAAAAAGGTGAAGCGAGAAAAGCATTTCAGTAGTAGCTTTTTTAAAAAAAGACCAATACATGATAAAATCAACTAATAGCTTGGATTTTAAAGAGTAACCAAGACCATTACTTCAAAAGAAGACAAGCTAAGAGAAAGTGAGAATATGACAAACATCTTATGGTTTAATAATTTTCTCCAGAATATTATTAAAACCACTGCAAAACAAAACTTTTTTTCTGTAAATAACAATCCTAAAGAAGGATCTTGGATTGATACTGCGGTTTTACCTTACCGCCAAGATACGACAGAAGAATCAAAAGGGAAATTGAAAATTTACAACATTAAAACCTTCTACTAGATAACTAACACTCTAAGAAACGCTTTAGTTAGAATAAAAGTTCCCATTCACTTCTACACAAAATTGTGTTTACAGGTTAGATTATGTCAACTATGATGCCGACTTGTGCCAAGGAACACTCAAGTTACACAAAAAGACCTAATAATACTGTAGAATCGGGGAATTTACAAAATAAGTCAACAATACCAGTAATAATCGACAAACATATTAAAAAAATCAAAACAATTCAAAAA